CACAACATGACGGGGCAATGTAATGAGTAATGGAACTGCAGTCACAGAGTGTGTAATTGAACTGAGTATTGTTGAAGTTGAGCACGTGAGACGTTCGATGAGAATTATAGCGTTTGTTATAGCGCGACTGTTGAAATTAAGTGTATCGCAAAGTTATATTCAGAAAGAATAAACCAGTTATATTTAAGAAAGGACTTGTTTCGCTAAAGTTTCGTTGGAACGAAGTTACGGAAAATTAACTAACGAACGGAGACGCAACAATATATTTTCACCAACAATTTCCGTAAGAAACGTCAACAAATACCTTACTGATCCACTCGCTTTGGCCGTGTGTAGCTAGCACACAAAATAAAGTCAGTCCTGTACAAGGTGTATTTTATTTCCTTTATGTAAAAAATTTTTACAAGTGTATACACCTTAAAAACTTTTAAATGTTTGGCCACTATACAGTAGGAAAAATGTAATACCTCAGCTAGTATGTATCACACCCTACTTTCCATCGTTCTCACGCCGTCCTCGGTCGTCTCTAATTGTTAAATATTAAAATCTAATGAAATTTACATGAAAATAATAAATAGATAGAAAAGCACGGATCTGACGTTTTCCTGTAATATTTTATTCCTTGCACCTGACAGAACACAGTACAAGAAGTAGACAAGACAGGCATTTACAAATCCTTAACAATGAAATACAGTGTTCAAAGTTAGAGTAATGTAATAGTCCTTTATCATTAACACAGCGCAGAATCGCTAAGAAGGAACTCCTTTATAACAGTTATAATATATACATACATGTATACATCCATTACAAAAGAAAAGCGCACAGTAATATAATCAAATTTGTTAATAAGAAAAAAAAAACACCTTAAAACATAAAACCTTTTGTCAGAGAAAAATAAACATTTAATGATAACAAAAAAATGAAAGAAAATATTATATTAACCATAAAATAAATCATTACCATATTAGTAAGGAAAAGAAAAAAAGTCAAAGAAAAAAGGAACTCAAAATGACTAGCAACGATATAACATTTTAAAATTATACCCTATATTATTAACATAATTATAAATACGTACATTATTTTGATATTTGTTTAATGACATATTTAATTTAACTTATTTGCTCACTAGGTAACACCGTTGTTACACATGTGCTCTTTATCATATTAACATGGCGGTGGAAGATTGTAATTTTGTAGAGGAAGAAAAGGTAAATCTTGTTTTGTTTTATATTTAGGATAATGTGAACTTTTTGAAGGCATCACTAATTAATATTTGAGTTTGATTCCACGAATAAGCTAAAAATACATTTGTTTTTCCTTGTCATGGGACATTGAAACTTAACTTAATTAAACTAATTATTTAATCATTAATGATAATCCTACACTACAGTCTATAATATACTGTATAGGCTACACCATTAAATTAAAGATATTAATACTTAATGTTACCCTAATACTAAGTCGTAAGCGACTCAAGTAGATTGATAATAAATGCATTTTACCAGCCTAATCTTTTTTACACCTATAACAGTCATTGTTCATGTATTTCATAACAAATAGCGACTCGACAATTAATTATTTAATGTGTCTGTCGACAGTGTCGTATCCCACTCCCAGTCCTTGATATGGGTATTAAACAAAAGAACTCATCTACACTGGAGATAGCCGATAGTGTTTGTTGACATGTTGTTACACATTTTCATCTACTTTCACTCTTAATCTCTTGGAAATATATGTAGCAATATCATTACTGTTACTGTTAGCTCCATCTTCAAATCTTTAGGATGATGGGAGCTTCTATAAAATACTATTATATTAATTAGTACATAAGTTTGTTTCTATGAATAAGCTATCAAATTGTTTTTAAGATTAGCTACAAATATAGTTATTTCATAAGATTTTTTTTTGTCCATGTCACATGCCATGGAAACTTAAGAAAACCCTTCATGTTAAAGTTGTACATAGTAATGAGATTGTTGTTCTAGCAGTTATGTTATTAATGTCACTATACACAAAACATACTTGTGTCATAAATAGAGATGAAGGATAGAGGTAGACAAATAACAAAAAAAGAAATGGTTTGAACAGTAACATTTCAAGCAACTGCCCTATAACAGTCAGTATGTAGATCTGGCAAAGAGTAATTGCTGAAAACATTTGTGATTAAACTGTTTCTTCTTTGGTGATTTGTCAAATCACATCCTTCATCTCTTATAATCCAATTAGTTATTGACATAGATTTATTTTCTATATAATAAATAGATCTGTGAAGCTATATCTGCTTTGAGAGGATTGAGCAAAAGATGGGAAGAGAGAAATGAAGGCAAGGAAAAGACTAAGCAACTTTTTGAAGACAAGTGTAATAAAATTGTTCATCTTCAAATTTCCTTGAAGAAGATGCCAAGCCAAAAATTTGTCAAAATGATAAAAATGTGAGTTTTTAAATAAATATTTTTATACTTTCTTCATTGGATAGACTTCTTAAATTATTTAAAATTAGTGATATATTATTAGAAGGCTTTTTTTATCTTTCTTGATGTAATTTTATATAGCCTTTACCAATAAAGCCATGAACAGTGTAATGATACACCAATAATGTATTAATATGCTGTATGTCTAGTAGTGCTATAAGTTTTATGATAAAATAAACAATGCAGCATTAAGTTTTAACTAATTATATCACTATTATTATGATTATGACTTCTTAAAATTGTAAATGCATAGATGCAGTTTTATGTAATATGTTGTACTTGTCAATTATAATTTGATATATGGCTTCTTTAGAAAATTAGTTTAAAAGTCAACTGTTCTGCTTTTAAAATTTAAGCTGATTACAACTGATGACTATTAGACCCATTATCAGAAGTTATATATTTTCTGACAAGTAATTTAATATTAAATATTATTTACAAACTTGTATTTTGAATGGTAGAAATATATAGGTGTTTATGTTTAGCTCTTTAAGCATGGGCTCAGTTCCTGGGACTGACCTCATAACTTTTAAATTAGTAAGTGAAGGTTCATGAAATTTGGCAGGTTATCAGTAAACATTCCAAGGCTTTCATATGCAAAATATCAGATTTTTTTATTAAATCTTAAGGTTTGTTTAGCAATGTTTTTCTTAAGTCCTTTTTTTTTTCTTTTTGCATGTTGCCTATCCAACATGCAATGTAATTTTCATTTTAAGCAGGTCCTAACAGCAGGTCTATCTAAACAACAGACTGTACACAAAAATGTACAAGTAAATAAGCTCAGAGTATTTTCATCATGCAAATTTCAGCTGCATCCATTCTTATATTGACTGAGAAAACATTACTTTTACGATGTATCCAAATTATACAATTACAACTCTTACACCACCTTACGCTTCTGATCAAAGCAAGTTACCTACATAGATCTGAATTCAAAAATATACCCAAAAATGAATATAGCTAATTCTGCTGTTCAAACTTTCTTTCTTTCTTATGAAGATTAGAATGCCTTGTTTCTTCAGTTGGATACTCTCGCTGTGAATATTTTGAAGTTGGATAATCATTTTAATGCTTCACTGGGATATATGTTCACTTAGTTATGTCTGTATTCTTTACCAAAATAAACTTATTCATAAAAGTACTATTTCCTTTGTCATATGAATAAAAACACTTTATTTTTAAATATGAAATTTATTTTGAATTCCTGTTTATTTTAAAAGGAGTATATTTGTAAAATACAACTTTGTGTTTTTACACATTTCAAAATCTGAAAAGCATAGTTTTATAGTTATAGATATTTGTTACTTGTATTAGAAAGTGATCCCAGAAATAGTGAATTGTTCTGTGAGTGTGTAAAAAATAAAAGAATGTAGATCAGAGTTAATATTACATATTTATATTATAGATCAGGGATATTTGTCATTTTAAGTAAGTTAGAATAAATGTGTTCTGTGGCTCAAGTTTTAGAGGTATTGATCTCTGTAAAAACTTCACATATTATTAGTCATACCAGAGGTCATTGGAGATGTGACCTGTAATAATTAGGATAAATGCTTTTGAAACATTAAGTATCATATTGATGTATATTAGTTGAATAATTAAATCTCAAAGAATTGAGGAAAAACAAGATAATTGGACATTTCACAAATACATCACTTATTACGACCATGTCTTTGCCAATAAAGGCTTTACTTGGGAAACCATTGTCATAATAAATAATGTATTTGTGAAATGTACAATTGTCTTGTTTTTCCACAGTTCTGTAATTATGGAGTTTGACCATGTACCAACAGTTGGAAATATCAGTTATATAAATCTCAAATGGTTTAACTGTAACACAAAATAGTGTTAGAAGTAGACAAATCGTTAAATTATGTGTTTAATAAAATCTAGAAACAAAAAGAAGTTTATCTTTCATTATTTTTGAAGGCATGATTGTCAAAAACTTGTTCTTCTAGTGCTAAACATTATCAGGTATGTCAATTTAGCAAGGTTTAGATCTGGAAGAGAAATTAGATTTCAAAGTAATAATATATCACATATAAAATAATATTTTGAATATATTTTATTCAGATCATTACCACATACTTTAATGACTGAAGCCACCAATGTGTGTTTGTTTACCGGAGACCTGAACAGGTGGAATATTAAGGCTGACATAGAACCAACAATTCAACACTATAAGGATTTATTGGCAGAGAAAGGGATTGACTGTATAACTGAGGTTGGTAGTAAGAAAGCTTTTAATTAACGTAGCTTAATTTTTTTATTTACAAAAATCTTTAATTATTTTATAATGTAATTTTTATACCAAATTTAAATGATGGTGTCACACAAACTATAATGTTTTGTTTCCAGTGGTAGGAATGAGAAAACAAAATATCTTGCTCGGTGTCAAATGCCGTATATGGTTCTGAAATGAGCTGTATGCATTTATGTAATTATTGAAATGGTGTTCTTACTGATAATAGGTTTATCTACTTGAATAAAATTGTTATTTTAAAAATTTAATTTTTTTTTGTCATGAATTAAGATTTGCTAGTAAAGAATGTAATTAAGGATATCCAATAACCAAATGGTGTATATCTGGTTTGTAAATTGTGGAAAACAGTCTCAATGTATATTTAAGTATATCATCTTAGTTTCCATTTCAAAACATTTATGATGATATCACTGGTCAGATTCCATAGCCAACAGGAAATTTAAAACATTTTTCATGCAATATGCTTATAGGTTTCGTTTAAGAAATTCTAGATGAAAGCCCGAGGAGTAATGAAATTAAATTTTGATAACATTCTTAGAACATAATACACTTCTGCATTTAGCTATTTAACTACTTCTGGAAGTAAATATGTCAGATTTCTTGAAGTATGTGTTTATGGTTTAAATTCATTAAAATATCATGTTTTACATTGTATGTTGTTAAAATTTTTAGGTCATTCCATTAAGACAATTACGGACAGAATTTAAACCCCAGGAAGCCAAACGACATCTAGCTGATGGTTTCAACATTTTTTTGGCTGATAAGAAAATTATGAACTGCCTTATAGGACTTCTTGGAAAACATTTTTTCAAAAAACAAAAGTAAGTATAATTCAATGAAAAAAAATGTCCTGTTAGTTTGGTTGTTATCGGTCATTTTGTGTTTAAGCTTGTACCTGGAAATTTCATCATAATATAGTCTTAGAATGAGAAAAATATGTTCAGCTTGTTTTGTTTTTTTTGTGTGTGTGTTCTCCTATGGTTTGTTATTGTGAAAGGTAATAGAGCAGAAACATGAAATGTTAGAAGAATTTACTTAATATGTAACTACTTGAAGTGGTTTAGATTGCAAATATATATAAAAAAATCCTTTTTCTTTCTTCTTTCCTGAGCATTTTGTGATGCAAAATTGTTAATTAACCGTATGTTTAGCTTATTTATTTATTTGTGTTGAAACTGGTGATTTTAATGGATGTGTGTTACAAGAATGGAAAGTATTATGCACAACTGGCTTGTTTTTTTACATTTAAGAACTTGAAAGTGGACACTACTAAGCAGTTACTTATTTAAGTGATTTTTTTATAAGTAACTTAAATCCTAATTAAGAGAACCATGAAAGCTTGTTGCTTAATATCAATTAGGCATTGCAAGTTGTCAGATAGACATTTTATAATAGCACAATGATTTTTATTTTTCACACAAGTTAAACATTGATTTTTGTGTGTCACATGGTATATTGAATACAGCACTGGTTTTAATTATATGTTTGTGAAGATCCAGATACTATAGTTTTGTACGAATTAGGAACTCAAATTACTGATATTGACAAGCTACAATATAAAATAAGAATGTCGTATCTTTTCAGTTTGGTAAGATATTGATCATATAATAAATCAAACACAGTGCCACCCTGCCATCCTCTTTCCTTTTTTTGGAAATGCTCCCTTATATAAACTTACTTCTATATATGACATGAATAACCAATCGGAAGCTCAGAATGTCCCACTAGTGGCTTTCTCAGCCATTTTAACGTGTTTGGACGTTTTCTCTTTTCTTTCAAACCAAGATTTCAAAGAGGTAGGTTGTGTCTTTAGTCTGCTCAAAATTCCATATTTTTTTAGACTGAAATAATGCTTAATTACTAAGCTTGATAAATTATAGTGGAATTCTATGGTATTGATATAGTAATTTATGATTTTTTGGTTATTCAACTTTATATATAAAACCTTAAAAAATTATTTCGTTTCATATCCTACATGTGCAAAATTTTACAAGCAACCGAGTACAAAGGTCGTAACTATACGAGATAATTGTTTGCTTCACTTGTTTATTTACTGTTCAATGTTTTAAGAAAAATAAGTTTAAGAACTTATTTCTAAATAGCAATAATCTATTTACATATATAATGTATAATAATTGAAATGTGACTGTATTTTACAAAATACTAGTCTACTAAAACACACCCAAGACAGGTCATTTTGTAAAGACTAAAGGTGAGTTTTATATTATTGGATACAGTAACATGAGTGCACGTGCACCACATCATTGTAACTTCTGTATTGTTAGCCAGGCATGGCTGAAAGGTCAGTATAATAAAAATAAATATATATAAATGTATACTGTTATGAGATTTAAGCTATTTAGTCTAAACATTTATGTTTTGGTGTTATAATCTGTAGTCATTCAAGAATGAAAAAGGCATAACTTGTATTTATTTCCTTTTTTCTTAATGTGGTTATGAGATCAGTCAAATCGACCAAACCCATGCAGAGATTCGTTACTGAAAATAACAGATAAAATATAGTTTTTCTTAAGAAACGTTTGATAATTATCTGCACATTATAAAGATTTTGCATGTGAAATTTCAAAATTTTCTGATGCATAAAAGTATTTTTAGTCTTAAAATTAACATTATTTTGCAGGATAGATAGGCAACATGCAAATAGAAACAAAAAAAAGACATGAAAAAAGCATTGCTTTACAAACCGTAAGACTTAATATAAAAAAAAAATATTATTTTGCATGTGAAAACATTGTAATGTTTACTGATAATCTGCCAAATTTCTTTAACATACACTTACTAATTTAAAAGTTATAGCATAAAAACTATAACAAGCACAAAATAGTTACAAAGTCGGTATCGGCAACTGAGCTCGTGCTGAAAGAGTTAAAGCATCTGAAGTGTTGTGGTTCTGAGCTTGTGTAGTTTTAATATATATGCCAATAGCTTTTTTATATTTATTTAAATTAACTTCTAAAATGCTTTTAAAGGTGTGACTTAATAATGCTAAAACTGAAATCAGCTTTGCTTTAGATACCCACTTCAATTGAATATGGAAGTAGAAAATTTGAAGAAAGAAATTGAGAAAACTCTGAGTAAAACTGTAATGTACGTGAGAGCCCGTGGATCTTGCAGGTTGGTGTCTTGACAATAAAAGTTATCATATAATTTGTTAATTTCATTAAAACCTTTTAAAATTATGAGGGTTACTTTATAATGAAATATTAGAATAGATGTACATTATCATGACAATTGAAACAATAATGTAAAGTGGCTGTAGATTTGCTAACTTTAAAACATTTGTTTAACTGATTACTCATAAAAAAACATTTTCTATTCCTTATCATTTCAGTTTTGTCTGGTTTGTTTTTATAATGTTTGGTAATTATTGGAAATGTTTGAAAATGTGACTATCAAAATCATCAGGTTGGTTTTTCTGAGCAGTTTTATGTTGTAATATTGCCATTCATCAACATTTGATTTATGTTGTAATATTGCCATTCATCAACATTTGATTTATGTTGTAATATTGCCATTCATCAACATTTGATTGCATTATTTCATTGTTTAGATCATCATTACTCCATCATGGAGGCGTTAGTCTAACTGAGGGTAACTTTGGTTCAAGGGACTCATTAAATTTGGTCTGTGTTGTAGGCAACTGAGATTATATGATCAGGAATATAGTCTGGGATATATAAAGAAGTTAGTCTTTACGCCACTTCTCATCTTTCTTAATGTTGAAATATAGTTTAAGATGAAGTTTAAAAAAATAACAGGTCAAATGTTGCCATCTAAACTAATCTTTCAAAATCTGTCCATTTTATAAAGAATTGTATTATAATTTAAGTATTTTAATTGTTGTCTGTACAATTTCAAATACAGTGATACTTTAATAAACTAAATAGGGTTGCTGCACGTCATATTGATGTTAAAGTATTAAGAGCTGTAGACATAGAGATTACTGTTATATCCAAAACAGCCTTACTTGTCTCTATTGTCAAACCAGACATTACAAGGTAAAGGAAATAAAAAATTAAATTATAGGAATACATGGTACATTTATATACTGGATGTTTATAGAATTAACTTTTAGTTTCATTGTGGGACAATATAGAATACTGCAAGTTTTTTATGTACTTGTGTGTATTGAAACATAAGTCAATAAGTGAATATATGCATTGAATGTTTAATGCTGTATTTATAAAATTATAGCAAATCTATTTTCTTTAATGAAGATGTTTTAAATTACAGTACTGTACCAATTGGTCATCTCGATCTCTCAGATGACATGATAAAAGACAACATCCTTGTGGTATGTAAAAAGCTTGCTGAGGAAGTACCTGGAAAATGGGAGAATATCCATTCATGTCACATCAAAACTGACAAATCTGTTGCTCTTCCCATTTATATGTCATCGGGTAATTTGTATTATGTTAAACTTGAAATATATTTTGGTACATTATTTGTATGTAACAATATCACAAAGTTGTTGATTGTTAAGCACAAAGCTATACAGTGGGCTATCTATGCTGTATCCATCCTTGATTTTAGCATTATAAGCCTGAAGGGGAGGGGGGTATATTATAAAAGATAAAAACAAAAAAACTGTATCTTGCAAATCATTTACCACTCCTCAGTTAGATTTTGAAACCATACTGAAAATTATAAGTTTACAATGTAAACTTCTTCGTATGAGATACTATTTGGCTGATGTGAAAGAAAATAGCATAATTTACCATTTTAAATACATTATTTTAAAAAAATATTAAATTGATGCAGCTTGTTTCATAAGTCTACATGTTTAAGAAATATCAGTATTTGTAAAAGTATAAATTGTTTCTGACTGTGATGCTGCTCAAAATGATCATTATGATAATTGTGAACAAGTCTTTGACTGTTTACTACTTAAATTATTTCTGTGTGATTATGCATTTTGCTTCTTTTTCAGCATCTATAAACAATGTTGTCTTGCCTAAGGATGACCCTACTAAGAAACAGGTGGTGGGAGATGTGACCACACTTCGAAAGACTCATGTTAAAGTGTTTCCGGATGGAAAAGTATCAGTTGTACAAAACAGCAATGCTGAGGATTCAGACAACGATCAATCAGAAACTGAAGAACTGGAAAAAAGAATGTTAAAGATTGAAGAGAAGAAAATGCAAAAGCTTAAACATAAGCAGTTTAAAAGAAGACGACTCACAAAGAAGAGAAAGAGAAGCACTTTGTCTAATGAGTTTGATAAAACAGAGAAAGGAAATTCCCCTGGAAAGAGGATGAAAAAGATTGATTTTGAAAAACATAAGACTACAGCTGCTGTAGACAAAGATAATTGAAAAATTGGGTTAACCTATGAAAAAAAAATTAAAATTTGAGTGAAGACTCATTGTAAAAAGAAATAAATATATAAATTTTGTGAGTTAGTTTCAAGTTACTGTATATATTAGTGATATGAAATATCTTTTCCCGAAATTAATATTTTTTGTCAAAAAGTTTATTCTCATAAAAGGAATGTATCCACAACAGCATTACTCGTCTGTAGTGTCAAACATCTAATTATCGTATAGAAGAAAAAAGTTTCAATATTTAGTGAAATTCTCCTTAGGATTGTGACAATAATGTATTCAAGATTAGATATTTAGTAAAACTTTTCTCTTAGTAGCTTTAGCATATTGTGTCAGGCTGCAGAAGGAAGGGTCCAGGGTTTGAGACATTAACTGCTCAACAAACACTGTATTTTCATATATAAGATTGATATATGTCACATTTACTCCCATTATTCGGTTCAGAGCCAAATAAAGTTCTTGTGATGACAGATACTTCTTGTTAGTAGTTAACAATTAGGAATGACTACACTTGAACTCTAGAGACCTTTGACTTGACCATTCAGTCCACATGCACATACCGAGTTATTCATCTTGACAAATTACAAGTCTCGTATAAAAGTTATTTATGTATACCAGACTTCTATGTAGTACTTACAATTGAAAAACTTTGGTTTATTTCATCATTGCATTTGATAAGTAGATGGATATCTATGTATAATACAGATATTTGCAAAACTGGTTAACACTGAAGTATCTCGCAACTACGTGCAATTACAATGTACAGTTATGATGGTTCCATGACTTGTGCAAGACACCTAAGAATGAGTTCCTCATACACCATCCAAGATGGCTGTACATCTGTTAAGGAAACTATGTTCCCACTTTCTCATCTTAAATGGAAGACCTTCTGGACCCACCCTTATAAGAGGAAATCGAGTTTTCAAACTAAAATAATTTTTCATTGAAGCTCTGTTGTACAAAGGGTAAAGATTACAAGAGTAAATTAGAATATTTCAACAGTTGTATACAGAAAGTAGGTGAATAGTTTTTGAAAAATATACATTTTAAATACTTTTCTATAGAAAATTAGAAAGATACATGTAGCTGTTTTTTTTTTATATTGATATTCAAACCTAAGGCACATTTCTATTAAAATAAGCCCCCAAAAATGCAAGCTTCCAAATATTAAAGTAATTGTATAAAAAAACGTATGCAAACTTGGCAATCCTGATATTATTGAGTGTGATCCATGTTCTACCCTTTCGTTGGTATCGTCCACTGATCTGTATGTATGTATAGCACTTAGCCGGTGCTATGTGGGTTTATAAGTACATACCAGAGGAGGGTCTTACATTAGTTCATGTAACTTAATGTAGTTTAGATTTGTAAAAATCCCATGAGATTATATTACAGGGTATATTAGATGCTTACAGTAAATCAGAAATAGACAACAATGATATGCTAAAGACAATAGCAATGGAATTTTTTTTAATATAGAAATACAGAAGAACTACCTCATCTTTAGAAGGTAAAAACAAATATTTGCTTATCAGTTATTACATTTGCTGTTGGTGCTGAATGATGGGATTATTCATATAGACAAATTTAGAGCAACATCGATATTTGTAAGAAAGAACCTTCTAATTACATTTAAATTTATTAGAAAGATATGCACAAGAATCTTTGATGCAACTGTAAGAACATTTATGAATTTTTTCACATGGTCACAAAAATTTAAATTGATGATAACAAAACAGCACAGTTGCTACAGAAAGTATCAATTACCACGATTCTGGTATTATTATAGCCTAATGTATTAACTGTTGTAGTTGAAACTTAAAAGTTTGGTGTTTCTGTAAGAAAAAGGAATTCATTAATAGATATTTTAGAAAAATCTCTTCCGTGCCAAATTGAGATATACTGATATGTGAATAAACGAGTTCTTCGAAATAAAAAAAAACATCTTTATCTCTTCTTTGTGGATATTTTGTTACACCCAAGACTTCACCTCGTTCCATGATTTGATAGCGGCGTACGCTATCCAAGTGCATTTTAATATTATACGTAAGGATTAAATTATTACAACCAAATTGTCAATTTAGGTGCAAGCTATAATCAATTTACCATAATAAAGTCAAAATAATTAGTGCGGGATCACGCTGATGATGTGGAAGTTTCGTTCATGAGCACTTGAAGACTGAGTAGTATAAGATCAAAATATTGATGATTTATTGTGTTTGTTATTTAACGAATTGAACTAGAATGTTTCAGTCTTTTATCGTCTCTAAATAAAATCGTTGTCTTTTATGCTTATGAGTTTGGAACTTCTGTAATATTAGAAAGTAAAGTATCGGCAGAGCACAGATAACTCATTATGTAGCTTTGCGCTTAACAAAAAATAGCAGCGTGTTGTGTACTTCATTTTATGTACGACGGACCGTCGCCTTATACTAGAGTTGGGCATTGATCAAGATGGCTACACTCCCTCGAGACTTATTTCTCAGCTGGTCGACATTCAAAATGATGTTCCACACTGTCTAAATCTCGTGTTATTTAGTTGAAAAACAGCGCTATTCACGTGACTGTTCAAACACAAAGAATGTTTAACCTCGAGATATCACATAACTTACCATTGTCAGACAATGATGATGATGACAAAACCTTGTCGAAACGTTGTACACTTGCTGTTATATTAAACTTATATTAAAGTTTTGCTTCATTACCCATTCAAGCCGTCTCCAGCCATTATTGTTAGACATTGTTATCAACCTTCATGCACAAGGCCCAGCTGTACCCACTATAAGCAGACCAGTTGTTTTATCCAAGTGATGGTAAAGGACATAGGCAGCTAGAACGAATTCGACTCAACTTGACCACAGGTTATGCTAAAAACTGCATATAAACGATTAAAAAATTTCTACGTCAAAATCAGAAACTAGAAAACTTATGGTATGCCTCCATACTACAAGTCCTACCCATTGTTTATATAAAGTCTTAATACGGTATATAAAATATATTTTGGAGCTCCATCACGTCATTACAAATCTGGTTATTCTCTACTTGACGATCGTACATCTTAACAATAATTCTGCAGCGTAGTTTACATTGCAAAAGGATGTGTGATAACGTTTCTTGTCTAAAGCACACCCTTCCTCCCTCTGTGCTTTTCATAAGCTACCAAGTGTACGAGAGTGACGGTTTTCCAATGCTCGTTTAAACAGTTCGCTCACACAGAAATAAATAGGTGCTAGATCTGACGAATTGACCAATATGCATTCATGTGGATTAGCATGAATACCCATTTCTTTCTCCATCTGCTTAAGGTATGTGACGGTTGAACAAATATGTCATGGAAACAACATGTGCCATTTTTCCAGATGGCGTTCCTCCTTGATTATGTTGCGTACTGTTGCTTGGGGCACGTGGATGGCTTTTGTCATTGATCTTTGTGTTCCTGTATTTTTACCTTTTACAAAATGCTACACTTTGCTTACCACGGCTGGTTGCAGATCTCTTTCTTGATGGTCCTGGTTCTCCAAGTTGAACCACATATTCTAATGTCATTAATTACAAAAGAGATTCCCGTTTTGTAAATCATAACTCACCAGTCTGAACAACCTGAGTATATGAATATTTTGCGTAGAAAAGGGCTGTTGCTTACCTTTCTCAAAATTGATCAATTTTCGGTGGCATCGAACTATTTACGAACGGCAAACAATGTCAAAATGTACTTATGTTACATTCCTTTTACCGCGACTTTATGTCGGCTGTGGCTATCATGTGATTTTCTGAGTTGCATATTCAAAATCACTTTATTATAGTGCACTGCACTACATGTAAAGTTTTATTTTATTTTTTTATCTAGAAACTTGATTAGGTTTAGATAATATTACATAGAATCTAATGGGGTGAAGTTCATTCTTGTGGTTTGGCGAAAAGCCTTTGGGCTAATGACGATAAAAATTGGGTTTCTATACCTGTGGTGGGCACAGCACAAATAGCCCATTGTGTAGCTTAGCTTTTAACAACAATTCTTGTGGTGTAAGTTTTATTAACGTTACGCTTCTATTTTTTGTTGATAGCGAAATTTAAACATTTAAAAGGCAAAAACTATCATCTAGAGGATAGTGTGTTACAATTCACATCTTGTTAGAGCAAAAAATAATAAATAAACACTGCGCTCTACACTCCGCAGCCGTCGGTGTGTTATAAGGACGATAGTCAAATCCCAGTATTTAGACAGATAATAGCAGCCCAAGTTCTGACTAGTTGCCTCTCCTCTAGTCCACTAGTTCAAAATTATGGACAGCTGGTGCAGATAGCCCTCGAATGCCTGTGTGAGAATATCCGAAAGCATATGACGCGTTACAGATGCTTTATTTCGTTGTACCAAATTTATCCTGAAAATAAAATAAATAGGCATTTGTTGTAGTGCAAACTTGCTCATAAGTAAAAGGACTTGCAATTTCAAAAATGTTTAATTGGTTTTTGGTAAGCCTTTATCATGAGATCTAGTCATAATGGAAAACCCACTAAAAATAAACAGTTACAGATAAGTTTGTTTGTAATTAAGCACAAAGCTACACGATGGGCTATGTGTGCTCTGCCCACCACAGGTATCGAAACCCCGGATTCTAGCGTTGTAAGTCCGCAGGCATGCCGCTGTGCCACTGGGGGGCGTTACAGATAAAGCAGGTGAACAATAAGCATATCTCACAGTATTCTCATGGGCCATGTATGTATTTTATAACTAATTTAATTACTGGAAGAGTATTTAGTAATATATGATGGGAAAATGTCATATTTACTTTTTTAACATTTTCTTTTTCTCCTTCTTTTTAATGAAATAGATAGTAAACCATGTTAATTACTGTTACTAGAAATGTTACAATTAACATTTGGACGACTTTTTTTTTCAAAACTTGTTATAGTTCCCTTGACATGAATGTTTAGTGTAAACTCCAGCAAATATTTAGATTACTAAATAATTCTGTAGTTTATACGTACCATATTCTTTTATCATTCAAATGTAGATTTTTTCAAATTTCGGGAATATATTTCTTATCTTTTTTTATAATTCTTTTTGATCCTATAATTAATATTTATTACAAATATATAATTTTGTTTATTTGTTATTAAATAATAATAATTATTATTATTATAGGCTGTTGTAAAAAAGTAGTGCCTAAGCGGGTTTCACCTAAGGTCTTACTACTACTAAGAAAAGGTGGTTACTTGGTTCGTGTATTGTGTGCGTGTTCGTTTGGCTTTGGTAAGTGACAGTTAGGCCTAATTTTTGTTCTCCAAATTATCATTTATTGATTTAATTGTTTAATGAAAAGATCGAATCATCATAGTTGTTTTTAGTAAGAAAAAAAAAGTGTATATATTTTTGTAATTATTTTTTTAAACTTGCAAATAAATCTTAAATTCACTAAGATTATGCAACTGAAATTAGCGGACATTTTTAACTTTTAAGCCTAACCAAAGCTAAAGTCTAAACATAATGCTATGAATTTGAATTGAATTTGATTTTGAAGATTTGTGCTACCAATATCAGTATCACCACTTTCTCAGTTTCTGTAGTAATAATACTAGACCCGTTTACTATTTAGACGTTGGTTTTCTTAAACTTACGTTTTACGTACATTATCTAAGTTGATAGTGGGCATGGAATCCAAAGCACGAAAATGCGCTTTCTATAGTATATATATATATATAACATACTGAGGCGTCGGAACCGGGGGTGCTATAGCACTTTTAGTTTAACATATTTGGCTTATACTGTTATAAGTTATGTAACAACTGTAGGTTTTATTATTATATTAAATCTGCATATCTAACTAAGCACCCCCCCCCCCACACACTTTGCAACTCCTTCCTAGACCAGTGATATAAAACACATTCACAGTTTAGTGAAATGAAGTAGAGATTTCTTCTAAAACAAGCAAAATGCAATTTAAGTCAAAGTAGTACTGCAAGAAGGTTAATCGTATCAGGTGTGCGACTATAAACAGAGTGAGACTTAGTATTCTAAGTTTTCAGTTAATATACAATATGGACAACAAAAGACCATTTAGTCACTAAATTAAAGGCTCTCCTTGCACACTGACTGTTATGAAAAATAAAAATTTAAAACCATTTATTTTTCAGGAAATTGTCAATTACCCTCCTAAACTCTTGTAAAATGCTGGCCTTCACTACTGCTGACTGACAGAAACTCAATCCGTAAGTCATTTACCCATAATACTAGAAATAAACTAACTAATAAGTTAACATCAAACTGTTTTTTTTTCTTTAATTGGACAGTCAACATTTCATTTTACGGTTTCTTTACGAGCATTCCTCTAAAACACAAACCCTAGTATTAAAATGTCTTCTATATACACTACAGAAATTAAATAAGTCATTTACCCTGTTAAAAAAATAATACAATTTTAACTAGATCCTGTCCTGTCATTTTTTCTTAAATTGGTGTTATCTTATCCAATTATCATCAGAATATGACAAAAATTGGAGGCCTGTATTCAACTGATCCCTAAGATAATCTTCCAAACTTCAGTCAGATCACATCCTACTGTTCATTTCTCAAGAGAAAATGTTAGATCTTAACCTATCCCCTGTAAGATAATTCTGTCATCCCTGGATTATTCCTATTAACCTTATTCTGAACCATTTCTAATAAATCTTGTATAATTTCGTAGATGAACAGACCAAAACTGCATAGTATTCCAAGTGAGGCCTAACTTGTATGTTTAGAGAATTGATTGTTTCAGGCTTGTTATTAATATGTTTATATGCGCATCTTAAATTTTTTAGCTTTACTATTAGTAATAGAGCACTGCCCCCTAATGACTTGAGTGACATATCATCCACTAAGACTAAATCCTTTTCTTTAGTCTCATTATTGAGTGGGTTTCCATCTAAAAAATGGTGAGCTAAATTAAAATAACATTGCCTGCAGACAACAAAAACCTGTTTGAGCTTTTAAAACACCTGGGTGTGTTGATGTGATGAATGTGTCGTGTGGTTTGTTTTAGTGCATTGTAAAAAAACAACAAAAAAACTACTGGATGAAATAGTTTTGAGACTCCAGATGATTTTTCTGCAGCTTTTATGTCATATTTGTATGAGTTTCCAGATTTAAAAACATTCCATTATGTAATTATTTATGAAGTAATTAAGAGTATTTACATTTGTTGTATTTAATTACTGATTTTAATATCTTTCTGCATTCTTATAAAATTTTGCTCTAATTTTATTTTGATTTGAAATATACCATACAGAGTTTCAATGTACTTACAAACACAGGTTTACAGTAAAAATATTTTTTTGCTATACCAAAGTTATGAGCCAGTTGATTTTTTTAAAATTGTAAATTAGAAGATTTTATTTAAGATATGTAGTAAGATTTAAACCCAACTTGTATTCATTTATATATTAGGTTATTAGGAAATTAATAGAATTTAATATTGCCTTTTTAGATGACAAAACCCAAACAACTTGCATATCAAAACATTTGTTAAATGAAATAGTCTCCATTCTTATCAATTATGCTTTTCCATCTTACAATCAAGTTGTTAATGCCCTGATTAAAGAAATCACTTGGCTTTGAAGTAAAAAACATGTCGATGTCCTCTTTAACATTTTCCACATTTGCAAACGTTTTCCCGTTAAGATGGTGTTGCAGCGAACAAAAAGGATGGTAATCTGATGGTGCCATATCTGGATAATATGGTGGGTCGGGGAGAAATTCCCAACCCAACTCATAATCTTGTGTTGCATCAAACATGTCACATGTGGACATGCGTTATTGTGGAGAACAACACCTTTCCGATTGATGAGTGAAGGGCATTTCTGATGAAGGGCTTTATTTAAATGTTCCAGTTGGTGACTATAGATCTCTGCATTGACAGTTTGCTGTGGATTGAATTACTCCTTTGATGTCCCACCAAATGCAAATCATCACATTCTGTGGATGGAGTCCAGATTTTGGGTTCAGAAGTGGTTTTTGTCTAGGACTGAGCCATTGTTTTTGGCATTTAGTATTTGCATAGAAAATCCATTTTTTTCATAACTGGTGACAATTCTGTCCAAAAATGGTTCATGTGCATTATGCACCAGAAGAGTCAAAGCAATGTTGGAACGATGATCATCGGAGAGTTTGTACAGCACCCAAACACCTTCTTTATGGAGTTTTCCATATTTCTTAGATGTTTATGTATTGCTTCATGAGAGACATGCAATTTCAGGGCCACTTCATGAGTGTGTTGCCTTGGGTTAGACTCAACAAGTGTCTTCAGAGCATCAGTATCAATTCCAACACGTCAGCCACTGCCATCACAGTTTTTAATGCTAAAGTCACCTGAATGAAATTTGCTGAACCATCGTTGACACTTACGAACGTTCAAAACATTTCCATAAAATTCTTTTATATTTTTTGTGGCTACAGAGGCATTGTTTCCCTTCTTGTATTCAAACAGCTTTACATGCCAAATGTGTGTCTCGTCTTGAACCATCATTTAAAGGGATTAGAGTATACTAAACTTTCACATTATATAGGCTATACTGACGTGATGTTTAGGTGGTTTGTTTAACTATTATATGTGATGGACGTGTTATTTTGAGGGGGGTAATGAAAGTGTTCCAAAACGCGACATTAATTTCATGACGACCTAATATATATATATATAATTTTTTCATATTTGGTGAAAAAAGTTACTTATGTTCTTAAGGCCTAATATAAACACAGTTATGATTGTGACCTTGTTCACAAAATGAAACTTGATGTGATAATAAATTAGCAAACAATCATTTATAAGCATAATTAAGTGGTTTATTTTTGGAGGAACATGCTACATTTTTTTACATAACAGTGGTCTGTCTTATTGATAATCATGATAATCCAAATGCATTACCTTGTTGCATTACTATAATTAAAGGTCATGTGTGAAATATTTGTTCAAATAATTCTGTAATACCTCAGTACAGCTAGAAATACCCAAGAGTTTAATGCCATCAGTTACTTGCTATACCCTATTGATATAAATAGCAAATGTCTGAGCACTGACACCTGAAGTTCAGCACTAACAACAAAGGTCTAGTTTGACTGGCCTCCATTTATAACGATGTTTTTTCTCCCATTAAACCATCCTACTATCATATTAACTATAGCCGTTTTCCAACCCCTCTTGATGTGAATTTTTTAGCTAATCATTTGTATGGTACCTTATCAAGAGTTTTTAATCTGAGTACACTAAGTCTACATCCTTTCCCTTCTGGTAAATAACACACTGATAAAAAGAGATAAATTAGTAAGAAAATATTTCCCTTTGGTGAATTCATATTTTATTTATAAATATATTTCACTAAATGATTTTTTAAAGATGATTTCACACTTTACCAGTACAGAAGTAAGGTTATCAGGTTTTTAATTTCATGGGAAACTATCATCACTCCTTTTAAAAATAGGAGCTTCATAAAGAAATGTTTCATTTTTTAGGCCCCTACCCACTCTCTATTGACTTATCAAACATGAAAGAGAGGCTCACGTATTTGATTTTTGACCTTCTTTAAAACCATGGGAAAATCCTGGCCTTGCTGCTTTATCTACTTTTAATTTCTAAATGTTTTTTTTTCCCACCAAAGTATTAATATCTAGTTATTTGTCTGTTATTCTGAATAGAATATTTAGGGTTAGAAATACTGCTACATCCCTTCAAGCCCATGATTGAATCCATATATTTAACCTCTTGACTTTCATTTTTTGTTTTTGTTCTTAATAGGCTGCAGTTCATTCCTTATATAAAAAGCCAACCCATCCCTTCTTATAAAGTCTTATCACTATTAAATAATGTATGACTTAGTATTTTAAAGTAATTCTCCAAATCCAACCAACTTTCAGTAATTCCAATTATATCAAGAGTATTTCATTTCATCTTGAGCCCTGAACTTATCTGTTTTACTCCTTATACTTCTATTAGAATAATAGCAGCTAATTTATACTTGATTCTAGTATATTTATTCTTAAATTTGAGAGACTTGACTTTAAGACTATAATTTAACTTGAGATATGGTTTGAATATTTTCCATAATTACTTGTTGCCCTAGCTATCATATCAGTTTTTTAATCCTAATTTTTCAAACTTTGTCACCCCTATGCACGTGTTTAGTTTATCTTTAATAAATTAGTTAATAGCTTCCCCAGATATCTTACTATCTAACCTATTTTAAATGTAGCCCATCTCTAGCATATAATTCACCCTTATCATGAAAAGTATCCAACAGGTCCAACCAACCCACCTGCTACTGTTAGCATATCCCTGATAATATTTAATTTAAGCTTTGGATCATGCTAACAAATTATTCCTGTATCTTGTGTGAGTTAGCACTTCCAAAAATGTCTACTGTCCAGTTTTATCCCTAAACATGTGAAGGAGTTCTGTGTACTTATCAAGCAGCTCTTCTGATCTACAATTTCCAGCATGATATACTTTTACATCCACTACAAAAAGAGAGTGATCCTTGGTACCTAGTATATCTGTCCCCACCCCCACTACAAATAACAATCGGTATACATTACGAATCCTTCACTATGTAAACTTCTTGATCATCTCATTCCTCATTACAAGTAGCCAAAAGCTCAAGTCTGGTACAGACAGGTACCCAAATGCTAAATGAACCAACTTTATAGCCTTAATTTATTTTACTTTTGTTTACTTATATAAACCCAGCTCTCTAGTTTTTGTCCTCTACTAAAGCAGTTGTTACATAAATATCTATTTGCTGTCTTGCTTTATATTCCTAATCTGCTGTCTTCTTCTTCTAATAGTGCAGTTTTCACAATATTCATATACTTATTCTCAAGTAAGCAGGCTCAGCAAGTATAGTGTACTGTATTTTCCAAGTTTTAGTCTCTCATGGGAAAGTGCAGTCATGTTTATAAGAACATTTGACCATATCATAAACATTCCCTAGGCATGTAGTTAATTTATTTTCAACTCTTTGCACTTTGAATGATAGTACTTATCTATCATATCAGCTCTTCAATAACCAGATGTATTGGGTACAGTAAGAAACTAAAGTGGTCTCTGTTAGAATTTAACTACTTTAAATTATCAGTAATTTGGTACTACAGTAATATGCACATTGTAATCATTTACAGGGCTTGGAATTAGCAGTGGCTAGCTGGCAAGAGACCAGTGGGTTCTAGTATTCAGTGACCATTTAGGGGCACTGGCACTTTTTAGCTAGTTGATAATCCAGGCATGGTTATGAATATTCAGGACAGTTTTAAACAATATTAAAATTACTACAAAGTTGTAGAATGCTTTTGGTAAAAACTAACCGATCAGTAAGCCTTTTCTGGTAGCCTGTTAAGCACAATTCTCACACATTTTTCAATTGGATTACCAAGCATGAAATAACAAGTTAGTGTGATCTAGTTTTTTAATAACATATGTATATATATTTTCATTTCATATTAGGAAATATAATTATTGTTACATATATAAATCTAAAATTTTATAATATATTAAATACTAGGAAATTGGAAACGTGATGCTTCCAGGAAATTTACATCAACTGATTAATTACATCTACTAAAGGCATACAAAATGTAAACCTTTTTTCTTTTTTTTTCTTTTTTGAGATTCACTTTCATGACAGGAGTTGTGTATTGTTTTGAGAGAGACAGATGCAAATTATAAAAATACATACACATTCAACAGCTAGCTTAGCATTCTTTCCAGATAAATTATTTTTGTGGTATTCTGTAAAAGGTACCTAGTTGTTGATTTGGAGGTTTTGTTTTTAAGTACATTGGAGTCACGTGTGACAAGTGAGTTGGGAAACTATTATTCTGGTAGTATATGATAAGCTGGTTTATTGAAAAAATTTATCCTTTGAGTCGTATTTGAGAACATGAAGGTGCATGAGTATAATCAACTTCTTGAAAATAAAACACTAAAAACTGGACTGTGCTAGCCCTTAGGGGCTAATGTTGCAAAATATTAAAAACTTGCAAGGACTTCTCTGGCTCTTAAAAGTCAGAACCAAAGAATTACCAACCTCATAATACTGTTGCCAGTTTTCAAAAACCAGTTACTGAATTTTGAACAATGAATTTGTGATGTGTATATACCTAAGCTAGCATGATCAGGAGATGCACAAAGATATGATTCGACTTGTAAACCATGCCATGATGTAACTACATTGTGAATGAAAACATTGGGTTCAAATTTTACTGGAATCAAATGTTGGCACAAAAAATTGTCAAACATGACTTTGTTGCCAGCAAAAGTAAAAAAAAAATCTCAAAATGCAATTTTAATGAAGCCCAGAGCAGCCCTTGATATTTGTCAGTTTCATAGGCTGATTACTTTATTAGAAAAGTTACACTGGCTTAGTTATAGTCATGTCTGAATTTTCTGTATTTTAAATTTTACCCTTTATTCTTACTGCCTACATATTTAATTACCCATAATTCTACCCTTTATTCTTACTGCCTACATATTTAATTACCCAT